GCTGGAGAACCTAGCAAGAGAACATGGACACAGAACCTGGCTGGAGATCCTAAGCAGAACCTCTCTGGAGATCCAGACCAGAACTTGGCTGGAGATCCTGGTTAGAGATCCTGGCTAGGCTGCTGATCAACTGAACACTGTCTCCGTGTCCTTCCTTCTTCGCCGACTCCGTCCACACCTTTGGGGACCCCTGGACCTGCTGGGGCTGGACCCCAGCATCGTAAGAGATGTAGTCTGGGTGGTTATTTAAATGTCAAGACGGCTAGCCCAGGAAGCAGGCCACTCGCTCTGGGCTGCTGTTTGCATTTATACAGTTTCATTTTCACACCTATTTTTTTAAGCGTCAAATACACCCTTTTGGGAGACAGTAGGATGTGGTTAGTAGTTTGTATGGAAATGAACTGGTAACTTTAATAACAACACATTTTTAAATGACTGAACCACAAATTAAATTCAATGATCAGCCACTCAGGCCCTTTATAGGTGCTTAGCTGAGCATGTATTTTGTGCCTCCCTCAGAAGCAATGAACATGGGTTAAAAGCACAGGCTCTGGTGTCAGGTTTCTAGGGTTAGGATCCTGGCTCAGCTGTGAGGTACTGACATTATCTACATCATGGGGCTGGTGTAAAAAAAAATGAGCTAACACATGAAAAGTGCTTAAGTGTCTGACATAGGACAAACTGCTTTGTAAGTGTGATTTGTTTGTAAGTGACATGTTAGCACTGTGGTGTGGTCATGGTATAAACCTGGTTTGCTGCTCTCAAAGAACTTGTACAACACAGAGGAGGAGACATCACCAACATGAATGAAATAATTATGGGCAAATCATAGAATCATAGTTCTGCAAGGGATTTTATAGGTCTCCCAGTGGAACCTACCATGCAAGTTGTCTAGAGCATCCTCAATAGATGGCCTTTCATAACACAGCATATCAGCAGGCTGACATGGATGCTATTGCTGGAGCATACCAGCCCATGGTGTGTGTGTTACACGTGTGCTAGGATCTTGGTCCTTCTTCCCATAGGGTCAACCTCCTGTCTTTATCCCCAAAGTGTGTACACATTTGAGTTCAAGTATGAGGTCACGTAATTTAGTAATTCCTTCCTTCCTACTACTGGGTAGTTTTCCAGTGTATGAGTAGACTACAATTTTCTCATCCATTTTTTACCTGCTTACATATATTTGGGTTGTTTGCATATTGGCACTCATAGGAATGAAATTGCTGTGAGCATTCTTGTGCAACTTTTTGTGGACTTATCATCTTCATTTCTCTTGGGAAAATACCTAAGAATGGAATTGCTATATCATAGGATAGGTATGGATTTAACTCTACAAGAAACTGTGAAGGTCTTTTCCAAAGCGGTCACACCACTTCACAAGAATGAATAGGAGTTCTGGTTGTTCCACTTTCTTCTCAACAAATAATATCATCGGTATTTTAAATTTTAGCTATTCTAGTGGCTGTGAAGTGGTATCTCACAGTAGTTTTTATTTTTCATTTCCCTACTAACTAATTAGGTTGAGCATTTTTTATGTGCTTCAATTGGCCATTTGTATATCTTCTTTTTGAAGTATCTGCCAGATCATTATAGATGCAATCTCAGATTGATGTTATAGATAAATGGATTTAAAATGCCACGGAAGAAGCTATAAGGAAGCAATGAGTGGGGAGAGGAGCCTACTGGACTTCTGTTCTCAACTGATGTAGCATCTGCTGCCACAGAGGTAACGCCGTGTGGACCAGAAACCTCAGCTGAGGTGGCCTACTTCAACTTTCATACCCAGCATCTGACACAGTGCTTTGCACAGTCATCGCCCCGATAACTGCTATAGAATAAGTGACCTTTATCTAGAGGAATACCCAAACGTACTTTTTGTATGAGTGACGAGGTAGAAAGAATTAAATACCTCAGTTAACATAAAACACTTCAGCATACAGTATGAAGGGTTGGAGAAGATGTGTGTGTTGCTGTGGCTGGTAGCTCAGTTTGTTAGAGAGTTGTCTTGATATACTGACTGAGGTTGTGGGTTCGACCTCTGGTCAGGACACCTACAAGAATCAACCAATGAATGCATAAATAAGTGGAGCGACAAGTCACTGTTTCTCTCTCTCTCTCTTTTCTCTCTCTCTCTCTCTCTCTCCCCTCCTTCTCCTCCTCGCTTTAAAAAATCAATAAAAATTTATTAAAATCTAATTTAAAAAGAAAAGAAAGAATGCATGTGTTGAACCTGGTCATGCCTCTGAAGAATTAAATGTCAATTAATCGTGGTCTGTATGCTAAATAAAAGAGCTGGAACCTTGGGCTGGTTGCGGAGAGGGCAGAATGCCTCAGTGAATGAATCCAAGCTAGACCACAGTCTGAAACAAACAGCTTTGTTTCCTTGGACTTTTCTGAACTTTGCATAATAGCGAGGTTTGAATATAGCTTAGAGGGAAAATCAGAGCCTCTGCACCGAATGAATATTTTTAAACTCCAAGACCGTAACTGGAACACCATTCAGCAGCCTAGCAAACACTGCCCAGGTTCACTTGTCAACTCGGGTGTCTGGGCGGCATTTGTTGGAACAGCCAGCTGTCAGTCTGGATTGCATTCGTGCGCCTCACAACTCTACAGCTTGTGGTTGATGTGGGAAGGCATTTCGAGACTCGGCTGTGGAAGAAGATGGCTGCTTTTAAACATCCTAGGCCAGTGGTCGGCAAACTCATTAGTCAACAGAGCCAAATGTCAACAGTACTTCTTCAAAACAGACTCGCCCAGGACGAAAACCGACTTCTGCGCATGGGCCACGAAGTTTCAATCACACTGTACGTGTGTGCCTGCACGTGGTATTTTGTGGAAGAGCCACACTCAAGGGGCCAAAGAGCCGAATGTGGCTCGCGAGCCGCAGTTTGCCGACCACTGTCCTAGGCCAAAGCTGCAGTCTGAGAAAGGAGACGGACTTTCAGTCTTGTTGGTGTTTTGGGAAGAATGCCATCATAATGATATTTCCAGGCTGCTCTGAATATGGCCAGTAAGGGAGAACCCGTCAAGACAGCCTGCCTTCAATTAAAACAGCAGTGGGATCCTATTTTCTATTTGTAAAGTCGGGAAAGAGCTTTTTAAGCAATACCCGGTTTCCTGGGAATCTATTCCTACACAGCTGATCGGAGGGCCATTTGGCCAAAAAACCACACACAAAAAAGCAAAACATTAAAACTATGCATATTCTTTGACCCCGCAATTTCACCTCTAAGAATGTATCCCACGAAAATAAGTTTATCTCTGCAATGATTTATCCATTAGTTTATATTAGACACAGTGTTGTTTGTAAGAGTAAAAAAATAGTAATCGATGAACTATCTAACAGTAGGGAATTGCCCAAAGGAATTCTGCTACATCCATAGGAAGGAATAGTATACAACTGTTACAAATAAGGTGGTCGGAGAATATATGAAGATGTGGGCATTTGTTATGACCTATTTTAAGTTAGAAAGCAGTTTACAGAGCACCATGTACAAAGTCTATTTTTGTTTAAAAATTACACAATAGAATAATCTAAACATGTGCATAGAAGAAAAGGCTAGAAGACTATACATTCAAATGTTAATAGCAACCATCTTTGGGTGGTAATTTTTATGGATGATTCTTACCACCCCCTTTATGCTCCCCCCCCCTCCCCAAGGAAGTCTTATATAACAAATATTACACCAGCAGTTGGGGGAAGGCAGCTCTAAATATTTCAAGCAAAACGAGCAGCACACAAGAACCCTGTGCTGAATTTGGGTTGCCTACTGACAGGCGAGCTAGGATGTTTTAGTTCTGTGCTCAAACCCAGACACATGCCAGGACTTTATGTTCCAAAGCAGTTAGTTCAAAATAATTCACACGAGCCCTGATGGCATGGAACGGTCTTACGAGTTTTCTCTGTTTTCATTTAACATGAAGTATTTCCTACCCACGCTATGCTAAGCCTTGTACAGCATCAGCCCACATTCAGGGAGGCGGCCTGACAGGGTCACACAAATGCTAGCACACAGATGCTACCTTGGGAAGAGGGGCGTTTCAGTCCTTTCGCCAACACTCCCCACGTCACTGAAATCCCAAGCTGTGTCTATGGAAAAAGAAATAGAGAGCTTGTAGCCTAGACTGATCCATAGCCAGATCCATCACGGGTCACTGAGGAGAAGCTATAGATATCTGGGGGAAATCCTTCATCTGGGGGCGGGGGGAATGATGTCATCTGTGACAGCACCTGGACTTTTCCAGTGTCCTTTGCTGTCCCGGACAGAATGGATGGATGGGATCATCCCGCCTGTTCATGTCAATCGCCTGCCATGGACTGATCCAGCTGGCAGGACAGTGGACTTGAAACTTTAAAAAGCCTGAGGGCGAGGATGGCTGCGAGGTAGCAGGCTTAGTCTGAGCGAGTGCCCACGGGGTGAAACGCGACCCTTTGCTCTGCCTGACTCCAGCTGTTCCTGGACCGTGAAGGGAAAGAGTCAAGAATATATTTCATTTGCCCACAAAGGAATACGGCAGAGAGCCAGACAAAATTAAGCTTAAACTCGAAGTTAGAAGTGCACGACCAGTAGGACAGGGAGAGAGTCCCAGGCTAACTCACAGCCACTCTCAGCAGCACCCCCCTCCCCCGCCACCCGTCCCCTGCAGCGGATCCAGTCTGGCCCGCTTGGGTGCTTTCAATGACACAACATCGGGCAAACTCCAGAAGAATGGCAGCGGCCAGACGCTTAGACCCATGAGCTCCAGAATGACAGCTCCAAGGAATGTGCGTGTCTATAGTCTCCCAGAGTCCCTTAAACACCAACAGTGAGTCCAGGTTAACCCACCCTATGCATCCCTGTTAGGACTACTCTCAGGGTTTAAAAATGCAAGATTGCCAAGCATTTTACAACCAGAGATTCCCAGGCACTTCTCCAACCCCCCCTCCCCCGCCCCCTTTCAGGAATCCAATGGCCCGGAGCTCACAGACCCACAACGCATCAACCTGCCGGGCTCACCTCGCTGCTGCGGGTCCTCCGGGAGCCTCGGCCTGCAGGTGTGCAAACCGCGCAGCAGGTGGCTGCCGCCTCCTCTTGGCACAGCAGACATGGTCCCGGCGGTATCACCACAGCTCCAGGGTCTCTGGGGCATCTCCTTCCCCGGGCCAGTCACCCCAAAGCACAGAGGGACGCGCGGATCCGTCCTCGCGTGTAAACCATGTACTTCTCTAATACATTCCCAAGTGTTTCCTGGTCGTGATTCTGAAAATAAGCATTCCCCGCTGTGACTGCCCCCACAGAAAAAGATGCCGGTGCACTTGGATAAAAACACAAAGTTCTTCTTTCATTTCAGAGCATATTGAAAAGTTTCCCCCTTCAAGTGTAAAAGCCTACACAGTAACTATTTCCAACAGATGACAGTCTGGGCCGTTTGGACTCCCTCTGCTGACATGAAATCTAATGCCCCCCGTCTTTAGAGAGGGCTGCTAGAGTAATTACACACAAGCAGAAAGAAGTGCAGCCGAGTTAAGTCAAGTGATTTCTGAGCCTGGTCGGAGTTACCCTCTGGGACAGCAGACAGTGAAGGGTTCTTAAGGGAGGCTGGGAGGAGGAGGAGCCCTGGGCTGGCTGATTAGCATAAAGACATAGGCAAGACCTGGCAGTGGAGCTGCTGTGAATAATAGTGACCGAAGCAGGGATTCTAAAAAGATGCCCTGACATTACAGTACTCACACACCTGACTTCTGCCGCTTTGTTTGGAATGAAAACAAAAGCTCAACGCAGGGGCTTCTGCGGCCTGGAGATTCGTCTGTACATGCGAGATCTGAAGGGTGGAAGGGGAACTAATAATGAGCTCATGGAAATGTACTGCTGAGACTCCGTTTCTGTAAACAGCCTCCAGTCTTCAGAGATGGGCAGTCATAGAGCAGACCAACTGCCAAGGTAACTATTTGGAGTTCTGGAAGAAAAATAAGCACACAAAACATTATCTTTCCAGAAATCTAGCTCTGTTCGCCCTAAGATTCTCTATTGGTACTTCTAGGTCATAAGACAAAGCTGTCTCCTGTGTGTGTGTGTGTGTGTGTGTGTGCACTGAAAAAGCATATCTCATTGAAATACTAAAAGTAGTTCATATTTCATTGAAATAATAGCGGATTCATTAATGTTTTAAAATAATCCCAAACACCTTTCCTCTAACTTGGGAGCTTGCACCCTCTGAAGTTCTAATGAAGGCTGGTAGACCCTGCCCTTCGAGATTCACGGCTCTTTGTAGATTCAGAAAGGAGGTGGTGGGCAGGAATAAAGGGCCGCACTGTTTAGCCTTCATGTCTGGATCCTGCAGTTTCCTCTGCATCTTTGGAAGTTGGTGTTGAACGTGACACCCTAACTAGAAATGTGCCGCCTAATCTGATGGGGGGGGCATCCTCATTTGACTCTGAGACGTTAACCATTTCCCAGGTATACTCTGAGCTATGAGAACTCTTATGAAATATGTGATTGCTCTTCCATAAATTTTTTAATGGTTTATTAAACTGCTTTTATTATTTAACCAGAGGCCCGATGCATGACATTCATGCACTTGGGGGGGTCCCTCAGGCCGGCCTGCACCCTCTCGTAGTCCGGGACTCTTCGCTCCTTAGTGCCCGCCTGCTCGCTGCTCCTTATCACTAAGCTCGCTGCTCCTTAGTGCTGCTGGAGGTGTGAGAGACTCTAGCCACCGCAGCTGTGCTTGCCAGCTGTGAGCCTGGGTTCTGGCTGAGCAGTGCTCCCCCTGTGGGAACGCATTGACCACCAGGGAGCAGTTCCTATGTTGAGCATCTGCTCCCTGGTGGTCAGTACATGTCATCATGACCAGTCGTTCTGCTGTTTGGTCAATTTGCATATTAGCCTTTTATTATATAGGATGGTCTCTCTATAGCAGCGTTAGGCCCCTCACAGTGTAACAGGCTGTAGACGTCCATGGCTCCTTTGAAAGAGATTCCATGACTAGAGAACCATGGCTTCCGCTTCCAGTGGCTGGGATTGAGCTCCTGTGTCACAGCGGTCCTGGTGGAAGGCCGAGGCCCTTTCTCCCTGAATGGGATCCAGCTATCAATATTCTGTCCAATTGTGGGCCTCGCTAATGAGCCTACTACGATGCAGGTAAAGCAAACAACCCACCAAGCTGTAAGCCAGTCCTTGAGAGAAAGGGATTAAAATGTTCTATGAGAATTTTTATATATACATGTGAATTGGTAGAGAGAATGCCACCATAAGCCTCGTGCACCCATCACTTGGATTTAATCATCGACTCACGGGACAAGGTGGTTTCGAATCTGTGTTTCATCACAGTCACTTTCCCCTCACTTCACCCTTGGCATTAAAGCAACCCAGACATCATTACATTCTCAATACGTATTTCTAAAACTCAAGGACTTTGAAAAACAGGACCATGCTAAAACTGTCATCTTTTAAATCCTTAAACATGATTCCTTAATGCTATTAATTATCCAGGTGGTGTTATTTTTCAGATGCCTCACAATTTTTTTTTTTAAGTTTTACATTTTGTTCAAATTGAAATCCAAAGGTCCACACATTGTACCTGGTTGATCTTTCTCTTAAGTCTTTTTCACTCTGTACATTCCTCTCTGAAAAAAAATGTTGCATAAGGATTAGTATCTACATGTACCCTAATTTGTGTCTGATTTTCCAGAGACACCCACTTTTCTCTCTCACCCATGGATGTAAAGCTAGTGGGAAAGGGAGCAAATGGAATGGAACAGACCACAGAGGCTAAAGCAGCCAGCGTCTGGCCCTCCTGTCACTGCACCGTGTGGCCTGGAACCAGGTGGAACTATCTCGGGGTTGTGTCTTCCTTTGTCAAATGAAACCCATGTTTGGTAAGCAATGAGAGAAGTTACTCAACACTCATTCTATGACTGTGAAGACCTGGGAAAGGAGAGACTATTCTGCTTTGTCATTGGCTAAAGACTGAGGAGAAAGAAGTAGATTTAAAACTAAAAATCTAAGTAAGATTTGGGAGTGTATTTGAAAATCTAGGTCCTCAATTCTCAAATCTGGACTTACCTGGAGAACATAGTAAAGACAGAGATTCCTGAGACCCCACTGCACAGTCTGAGGCCTGAACTATATACATTCTCTCTTTTTAAAACTTAACTCTCCCTCCCCTCAGATTTATCGATATGTAATTGACACATAATATTGAGTAAGTTTCAGGCACAGTGTGGATTTGACACATTCACATTGCAAGATGATCACCACCATAGCATTCACTACCCTCCCCATCCATCACATGGACCATTTCTTTTTTGTGGTGAGGATGTCTAAGATCTACTGTTTTAGCAGCATCCGCGTATATGGCACAGCATTATTAGCTATAATCGCCATCCTATACAGTCAAGCCCCAAACTTGTTAACCTTGTAACTGGAAGTTTGTACACTTTGGCCAATAACTCCCCATTTCTCCCACCTTCCAATCCCTGGTAACTACCACTCTCCTCTGTTTCTCTAATTTTGACTTTTTTAGGTGGAATATATATTTAAATATATTTTCATTGATTTCAGAGAGAAAGGGAGAGGGAGAGAGAGAGAAACATCAATGAGGAGAGAAAATCATTGATCGGCTGCCTCCTGCACGCCCCCTACTGGGGATTGAGCCTGCAACCCAGGCATGTGCGGTTGACTGGAGTCGAACCTGGGACCCTTCAGTCTGCAGGCCGATGCTCTATCCACTGAGTCAAACCGGCTAGGGCCTATATATTTTTTAAGTCCTCTTGTCAAGGTAAACAAGTATAACCTGCTTAAACAGATCTGGTATGCTCCCCTATTTCATTCATTCCACCTTCCTAAAGCAATTCCCAGTGTCGCTACGTCAGGGCATAGAGAGGCTTCCAGGGGAGGCTTGCTGCCCGGTCCCTCCATGTCCCACGTTTGTGCATCACTGAGTCATCCCTGCACAATGGCCCTGTGACTGAATCAAGGAGACTGCTGAGGTCTTACCCGCATGTTGAGTCACACTTCTGCTCTGGGAATCAGCCCGTGTAGCAGAAAGCAATATGTTACAAGAGCCTATAAAATAACATCAGATGCATCAGCCACAGGAAGTATCAGCTACAATAAGCCATGGCCCTTCCTTTTCAGAAAGACCACCAAGTTAGTAGTCCAGTGTGCACAGTGTCCTGTGCTTCTCGCTTATAAATAAAAGCAAGAAGTCGGACAGCAGAAGGTGAAGACTGGTTGTGTTAAGAAACAAGTGAATAATATTTTGGCATTTTTACTTGCAATTTGACTCCAAATTAATTAGCATCCTATTAAAGCCAAACTTCTTCCCTTATCAACTCTGTTGCCGGGAGCCGGTCCATCCTTGCTGTTTCAAGGGACCTGGCATATATGGCATACTGTTCTTAATATGTTTACTCACCTTCTTGGCACTATGTGTTTTAACCAAGGTCTCCTCTCTGAGAAAGGTTATTTCCCCAGGTAGGGATTTTCCCCTGAAGTTAGGGAGGGAATAAAACCCCTCAACTAAGTGCCAGGCGGGTAATTAATCACTTTAACTATGAACAATCATGCTTAAGCTACATAATCTTTACTCCCTGGAATGGAGATAAGAAACGCCCTAACCTTTGTAATAGAGATTGATAGGATTGAATCAACTGGTATAAATACAGATGTAACAAGACAGCAAGACACAGAACTTAGAACACAGAACTCAGAACACAGAACTTAGAAGACAGAACCAGGAGGCACAGAACCTAGACACAGAACCTAGAGAAGAACCTAGAGACAGAACATGGCAAAAGATCCTGGACAGAAACTGGCCTCAGAATCTAGAGACAGAACCTAGCGAGAGAACATGGCAAAAGATCCTGGACAGGACCTGGCTACAGAACCTGACTGGAGATCCTAAGCAGAACTTCGCTGGAGATCCAGACCAGAACTTGGCTGGAGATCCTGGCTGGAGATCCTGGCTAGGCTGCTGATCAACTGAACACTGGCTCCGTGTCCTTCCTTCTTCGCCGACTCCGTCTACGCCTTTGGGAACCCCTGGACCTGCTGGGGTTGGACCCCGGCACTCTGTGATGCCAAAGAGATTGCACTGGTTTCCTCTGTCGGGTTCTTCCTTCTCTAGAACGTTCCCTCTGCGATTTGTAAAACACGGAGACGCAATGGTTCTATTAGAGACTGTTCTGCTGGGACAGCTGCTCTGTGGTGGCACAGCATCACATGCGTACTGATCCGAGGGGCCGCTATCGGAATCGCTGCCTTGATCTTTAATTTGGTGCAGCAGACCAACATTTTGGTCTTGGGTCTCAGAAATATTGCCTCACTCCATAAGCTTTGGCTGTTCAAACTCATGTTGGCCCTTTCTTGCAGATGAGCCGCAGGTTTGACGGCCACAGGGCTCCCGCAGGCCAGCAGTGTCCCGGGTCAGCTAGTAAAATAGCCTCACAAGTTAACCCCTGTCTTCTCATCCAACGCCCAGGAGAATGGTCAGCTAGTAAAATAGCCTCACTAGTTAACCCCTGTCTTCTCATCCAACGCCCAGGAGAATGGGGGCT